ATTATTATTATTATTATTATTATTATTATTATTATTATTATTATTATTATTATTATTATTATCTTGGAGGGATAGCACTTCGCTATGTCACGACACTGCAGAGCTGAACAAAGACTAAACGCGGAAGTTACCACGCTCTTTAATGGCACGAAGAGTACAAGACTGAGATTGTTACCGTCTTATTGACCGATCATTATAATCATTTATTTATTCATTATGATTTTTTGAAAGTTAAATTTTTCTTTCTCGTTTTTTTGATAATTGGCGATCGATCACAAAAACATATCTCGTCTATTTTAAATGTAGTTAGTAGCACAATATCATCATAGCTTATTTTAATTAGGAAGGGTTGAGAACGACCGTTCATTGTCGTTATTAAGATTTCTATATTATACATAGTCTCATATGGACGATTTCGATAACGCTATAGAAAGTACTAAGTATATACAGAAATATTTTTATTTCTGTCAGAACTATTCAAAAGTTAAGTTAACTATATGAGGCTCATTTAACCAATAAATAGTCAGACGATGATCTTCATTTTTTACTTAAAATACTATTAGTCTTCCGTTCATAAATCCGTCCAGAATTTATAAAATAAATGTTAATTAATAAAAATTGTTATTTTCTTTTTTTTGTAGAAATTATGGTTTGTAATCATGTACTGCTCTTGTTCTGTTTTTTTTTTATTATTGTTAAACATTGAAAGACGTTTGCTGTAAAGTCAAGAAAACGCATTTCGAAAGAAATAAAGTCTTGATATAAAAATATATAAACATTAACGTTGAGTTTTTTGTTGTCACCTTAGATTTAACTTTTTTCTTTATCATTAAATGAGTGAAACATTTGTTCATACTCTACACCATAGAAAAGAATGTACATATTACAGGCAAATATGTTTGTTACGACCTCTAACAATCTCTCATAGTGCAAATATTCAAGTTCTTTTCGAAAAATAATTTGTTCCTATAAATTATTGATATAAGAACCACGCTTTAATTAATTAAAAGATGTTCAACAAATATCGTAGATCTATGGTTTAATAAATGATACAAATGATAACTTATACTACACATGTAGTATTTTCATTCGTTATCCTAAACTATATTATGCAAATTAACAATCGTTAAAAAGAAACAATCGCGAAAAACAAAGAACTATTTTAGGGGAAAAATTGCTACAATGTAGCTTATTCATCAACGACTCAATAAAACTGATTAAATAACAATCCTAAGTTTCATTATATTCAAAATTTGCTTTCTAAATCGATTAATGAATTTCTTTTTCATATCATGATCATATTGTTCTTACGGATATAGTAGGAGAAAAAGAAAAGGAAAAAAGAAGAGAACATATTTCATAATCGAATTATACAATATTTCTTTTCAATCTTTCTCGGACCGTAGTTAATGAATAATAACGCTTAAAAACGCTAAGATACTCCATGGATAGAAAAGGAGATCGAAACTATCGGATCCGACAAGAGAGCGTGATAACCTCGACCAATAATACCCTTGATTTTCGCGAGAATAATTACGTATTTGACAGTTAAAGCGAAATCTATTCTCGAATACCTTAATACTGTAATGAGCAACTGGATTTGAAGGTACCGTAAAGAGATTGATGTTTCGATGATCGACAGAGGTCAGTGAAGATCATCTTCATCGCTATCATTACCATCTTTCGATCTATCGGCACCTCCCTCACCGTCGCTGGAGCCTGAATCGCTCCCAGAGTCTTCAGATTGCCAGCCGCCTCCTTGCTGTTGTTGTACATGTTGATGTTGTACCACGTGCTTTGATACTTTGTGACGTTTTCCAGCACGTTGCACCGAATCTGCCCCGGCACCATCGAGCATTGGCTGAAGAATTCGTCGACGAGCATTGATGAACCAGTTGTTAACTTGTAATAACGTTAAGTTCGTTTGACTTGCAATTTGACGTTTCTCATCCTCCGTGGGATATGGGTGCTATATGGAATAATGAATGTAAATATTTTTTTTTTTTTATTTTATTCTACAATGTAACAGAAGTAACTAGTATATAGCACAATTTCGTTATATTAGTTGGAGAAGATATGATTATAAATTGTAAAGATACAATTGTATAAATTGAATTAATGATTAAATAAAAATTATACTTACAACTAAATGTTCAAAAAGCCAAGTTCGCATAATGCTCGTAGCTTGTTTAGGTAAGACACCTCGTTTTTGTCTTCCTTTTTTAACGCTACTATGATTACCTCCATGACTACTACTGTGATTGGAAGTAGCAGTACCAGTGCCACATACTTCGTCTTCGTCTTCGCTTGGTGCAGGTGAAGGAGAACCCGCCACAGTGATATCTAAGCATAATAAACACGATATATTTATTATGGTAAAAGAACATATTTCACACAAAAATAATATTTCTCTCATTAATTTCAGATTATTAGTTTAATTCACATTTTTAATTAGTAATTAATATTCAAGTGAAAACATTAGTCATTGGTAAGGAAGAACCAAGTTCATCTAACCAAAATACTTTTCATCATTCGCATCTCCGACATCGACGTATTCATTTTCACGCTCTTGTAAAGCAAGAAGGCCCCAATAGCCAGCCTCTTCTAAATATATTCTGTCGCCAATATTCACATAGTCCATATCATCTATAATCGTAAGTTGATAATTCTTACGTTTAAATCAACATCTTTAATTTTCTTTTTTAAGCTCAACAATTTTTGGCGTTACAATGAAAAATTATTCAAAAATTTATTCAAAAAATTATTCAAAAATGTTATAATTAATTATCAAATAATCTGTATTGAAACCTTTTTCTGAAGCGTCCCTAATTGTAAAATCTTATTTGAACAAACTATGCAAAATAACTAAAGGAATTTCCAATCATCCAACATCTAATGTAAGAGAATCAAGAATAATTCCAAACACTGAAGAAAGAATAAAGAAAAAATTAATAAAAAGAAGAATCAACAGTTTAAAAAAATTACTTATTAATTGTAAAAAATCAAAAGTATTAATAAACCTACCTTGACCAAGATACATATCGTTGACTGGCGCACAGGAATGAGCACCGATCTGCGAAAGGGGTGTACTTCCATGCACCGTAGAAGGTGATAGAGGATCGTCATGGTCTTGACTGGAGGATCTGTTCGAGCGTTGAGCAGTGGAAGATGATCGCACCGACGACGGCCTGTCGTTACCGGTTTCCTCTTGCGCAGCCAACTGACTCGCACCACCGTTCTCCGACAGGATATCACCTCTGCTCACTCTGAATCCGTTAGCTCCCGACTCAACATCATTGCCTGTAGAAGACAGCACCTGGGAAATATATGTCGCAACTAGCCGTCAGAGAGCAGGGGTGGGGTTCTATAATATTTTGAGCGATGCGCAAGTATCACTCATTTTTTTTTCTTTTAAAATAATTATTTTAAAAGTAAATATTTTAAAATTAATTGTCTGATCCAAGTACAT